ATATATATATATATATATATATATATATATGTATATAATTATGATTTTCAGTTCGAATTTTGTTGTGTTGCGTGATAAAATATTATTATAGCATGCACAAGTTGTTAGATAAAATTAACAAATCAAGACTACTTTGTGTACTATATATTTTATATAAAATAACAATTTGTTTGATCAAGAAGATATTCTTGACCCATATATCAAAAACGTATATTCTAATCATATTACTATTCTAATCATATGATTTGATCTCGATATTAAGATTAGTTTGAATCTCGATTCAAGACATCCGGTTATCAAAGAAAAAAAAGAAGACTATGACTCCTAACGAATGAACTGGTAATAGTAATTTATCAGAATCATGTTTCAATAGTTTACTTCCATTCATCACTCGTGACTTTTCTAGATAATACTGATTCACGCCATCAGTACTAATAATAGTAATAATAATAATAATAATTTATAGTAAATTCTTATTAGGAATAGAGCGACAATAAGAACAACAAGTAGTGGATTCTTAGGCATTCACTGCACATTTATTCAATAGTATAACGACGTACGTATGCAACGGTTCTTGAATTGATCAAGGAACTGCGTTTTTGTAGCTTGCCGCTTCCGAGTTTTTGGCGGATGGAAGCGCCCTTTCTGCTTGGATTCTTCCTCCACCCACTGGCGGGAAGGTTCCTATAGGGTCACGTACTCCTGCTTGCAAGTAGAAGTAGGTATTATATAAAGGAAATTACATATATATTAGATAAATTACCTAAGCATATACATAGTATATGAATGTTTCTATCTAGTTAGAAATATTTATATATTGGTTTCTCGAGTTTAAATCGTGTCATTATCCACTATATAAGATTCATCGTATTAAAGATTGCCAATATTGCTTTGATTATCAGGCATCTCCAATGTCATTTGATATTTTTTAAAAAAAAAACAACAAACAAAAGAGATGAACTATGTAACTAAATACATATGTTAAAAACAACTAACCTAGTTTGCGGTGTTTGGCCTCGACGACGACGGCTCCAACGTTCGAGGAAAGACAGAGAAGGAGAAGAAGCAGAGGTAAGAGAAGAGCCACTTTCGATGATGCCTTCTTCGCCATTGGTCTTCAACGCTTACTTGTAAGTATTGATCTCTCGACGATACATACACACACACACACACACACACACACACATATATATATATATATATATATATATATATATATATATATATATAATGTGAACAACGGTCCCATCACCTACCATAAATTTCAACTGTTACATTTGGAATTTATCAATAAATCTTCGACGCGGTTTATAAAGTTTCATGGACTTTCTCGCGGTTGACTGATCGAGACGTAAGCTTCAAGGCAACTAATATTTTGAAATGATTGTTCTTTATGCAATGTAATTATCTGCAATTCCATGTGTAACGAATCAAGCCACACTTAAACGTTAGTTTTTTTAATATACTATACTTCATCTTGAGTATATTATTATTTCCAGATTTTTTTTCCAAGTATCCAGCTTTTATTCTTCTCTTGAATTAACACATGTATAAATTTGTGATATCCTTATAGGTTATTAAGAAATAAAATCAAATTGTAAGATATCTATATGTCTAGTCATAATTTCTAGCTAGTCCAATGTTATCACAAGTCTATGGCAAATATTCCACGTAATATCTTACGGGACAATATTGCCGTTAGGGGGAAAAAATACGCATTTGATCAGTACTTTTCGACAGTATAAATTGTAAAGAATATATAAATTATAAAATTTTATTCATTGGAAAAATCCAAAATATAATATAATAAAACAAGTGGCTACAAGAAAAAGAGTGGAACGCTATACTTTACGTTTATTTCCAAAGATTTATTTTTGGTTAAATTCCCATTTTGTGGTCCTAATTTTTATTAGAGACAGTAACATTTATATAATTTTCAAAAAAAAAAAAGTTTTCTATTTCCTTCCTGTTTTTTTTTTTCTGTTTTCACTATTAAGCAGTCAGTAGAATTTGTTTTTTTTTCCCTCCCACAAATTTAGGTTCTCATTAACGGCGAAATAAACAAAATAGGAGAAAATATAATATAAAAGTTATAAAGCCAGCATTCCATGAAAACATTATTCGTATATAAACACGCGAAGTCCATGACCATTTGCGTCATTCTTAGACATGAAATATCATCAGCGTATATATATTATTCTTACGGTCCTCGTCCACGTTTTGATCTCGAGGGTGGGGTTCCTATAGGGACTAACTTACGCCGTAACGAACCTGACCCAAAAAAAGAAGAAGCATGTTAATCGTATGGGATATTGTATAGATAATTAAGAAAAAATATCAAGTCATGGACGCAAACATTACAAATTGCCCGATGAATGAATAATGCAATCTTTTCTATATTTTTCATAGTATTAATCTTAATTACTTAAACTAATTTTGAGTAATCTTCATCATTAAAAAAAGACTTTTTTCCTTGCTAAAATTTAAAATTTATTTGATATGATGATGTGGTATAATTATACCTATGTGTCCATGACATGAAAAACATGTTATTGTCACATCATCATTTCATTTCTATATGACATGTCAAACACCCATTTTTTTTTAAGTGAAATCACAATGAGTAAAGAGTTTAATTAGTAACAAAAAAATTACACCATTTTTTCATGGACCTAGAAAGAATACAGATTTTTTTTTGGCAATTACCCTTTAAAAAACTAGTTTTTTAATATTTCAAGTCTTATTAATATATATATATATATATATATATAGTATAATAATAAATTGGCCTAGATCCGAAAATCGTGTTCATGTATGTGAATTCAAGGAACCGTCTCCTACCTAGTTCACGGTCCGTGGCCTCCATTATTCCAACTTGAGAGGAAGACCCTTCATAGCAGAAAGCATAGTTAGAAAAAAACAAAACAGCACAATATAGGATGATTTCTTCGTAACCATATTTGTATTCTTTATCATATCTCTACCCATTTGGAAATATACACAGACAAAAGCGAAGCACATCAATATGTTAAGAGAAAATAAAAAAATGAAACAGAGAAGCAAACATATATGCGAAATAGTATGTCACAATCTCTATTATGTCTATCAATAAATAAGTTTTTGAGCTTTGGATTCTGTATATATCTGTATATACATATATACGAACACATATGTAAAGGGTACTGACCTAGTTGACGGTGTGTAGCCTCGATGAATCCAGATTGAGAGGAAAGAAATACAAGAAGCAGAGTCCACGTTAACACGAGAGCATCGCGTGATCTCTCTCTACCCATTCTTCTTCTTCGTGACATCTATATCGCGTTCGTGTTATATTATATATACATATACATATAGAGAGAGAGAGAGAGAGAGAGACTCCGACTACATTTGACTTTTCAACGAGTATTATGCTTTGGAGGCACTAAACGAAATCGGATGTAAATTTCCTAAAACACGTTTTGGAATTTTATGGGTAAAATTCAAAGTTTCACACATTTCCACATTTCAGGAAAGGATGTGCATATACATATATCGTAAACTCAAGTGATAGAACGAATCACTATACAGAGAGAATCGATGAAGTTATAAAATAAATATTGAACAGTACAAGATATACAGACCAAGGGATTCTGTAGGGGTTCTTCAAGAACACGTTAGTTCATTGGAACACAAACAGTTAGGTCTTAGTCTTCGACTCTGTTTGCATAGTGAGCCAATGGAGGAACCGAATTTTATTCCTTGGTGTAAAAGAAACCGAAATCTAGCGATAGATAGGATTCCGCATCGGAATCTCAACTCGTAAATAAACTGCGCAAGATTGAACCTAAAATCAACCAAATATAAACCCTAAACACAAATCCCTAGCAAGATACAAATCGAATCAGAGATTAGGGTTTCAGAAACTTATCTTTCGTTCGAAAGTCTGTTGGTGTCCCTGTGCAGGTCCGTATTCGCCGGAATCACCGTCGACAAGCATCATAGAAACCAATCGGAAACCGTCGTGGTCGGTGGTGTTCGCTTCGGTCGGAACGGAGTCAAATACGATCTCTGTCATTGTCGAGGGAACACGAGGCTGTGGTGATCGTGTTTCTTTCTCGGACAGAGGAGGATTGTGGCGTGAATCCGTCCTGGGCTCGTGGGTTGATTGTTTGGTGGGCTAGCAAGAATATTGGGCCGTAGACACCGAGGCCCAAATACCAACATTAGCAATAAATATTGGACGCAACTTTTATGTGTGATATGGACCTAAGACAGAGATATTTTATAAGTTCATGGTAGCGTCACGTCACTCATATCGTAAGTACATCAAAACATCCGTAGTGTAACCCACGATTTTTTCTTTTTATCAACACTCCCACGCCTTATAAATATGAAAAAAAAAAAATCATGTGACTACTGACTAGTTTGATCATTAATATCTAAGTAATTTAGAGTAAATTATTTGTTATTTAAATAACGGTTATCTATAGGTTGAAAAACATAGTCCACATATACCAAATTGCATTCTATAAACTAAGCCATGAATTTTGTTTTTGTTTTTGGTATCGATTATCTACAGGTTGAAAAACATTTCATAATCAAAAGGTTCACTCGTTTGATGGCTTTGTTGTCCCCATTGATATTCTTTTTTATTACATAGGTGGGCCATATCATATGCATGGTACATACGTAAGACATTGAAACAAAATCACCTAACCCCAATAAAACAACACATAAATAAAAAAAAATTGTAGCAAAACCGCGTATACCCAAGAAAAAGGAGTTAAAAGCCATAAATTGGTGGACCCGGTTATGCCAACGTTTCCTTTAGTTAATATAGAAATTACGACATTAAAATCGAACTTTATTTAACATACACAAGCAACAGTCCATTGGCAGGACTAGATCTACAACCAGCAGCAACAGCAACAAGCAGTAGATAATCGATTCCTATACATGAGACACATCCATTGCTTATTAGTTTAATAGATGTAACACGATATCTATGCAGTGATTCTTCCACAGGAACTGATCAAGGAACTCCATTTTTGTAGCGCGTGGCTTCCGAGTTTTCTGAGATCGTTGCTGGTTTCTTCGTCGCCTTTGCTCTGCCTTGGACTCTCCCTCCTCCATGTCCTGATACGGAGGGTCCTGTCCCTATAGCAGTTTCTGATAATATATACATAAAAATAGTAACATCAGATAGATTTAACCCAAAAAAAAAAAAAAAAAGAGTAACACCAGAGAGCAAGCGAACACAGATTCTGTGTGCGTATGGGATCACTTTGTAAGTATAGGACACATATATATATATATATCTGATAACTGACCTAGTTTTCGGTGTTTGGCCTCCACGATTCCAACATGAGGCGAAAGACATAGAAGGAGAAGCATCAGAGGTAAGAGAAGAGCAGCGTTTGATGATGTCTTCCTCGCCATTAGTCTTCAATGTTTACACGTTGGTCTTGCTGCTCTTTCTACCATACACACACACACACATACATATATATATATAGATAGAGAGAGAGAAAGTGTAGCAGCAGCCACACCAGCTACATTCAATTTCGACCATTAAATTAGCAATAAATGTTGGACGCAATTTGTACGTATTGCATAGACTTGAGACTTTTCGCCGTTTATCGACTGAGACGAAAGCTTCGATATGGTACACTATTATGGTCTAAGATATTTTATAAGTTTGCAGTAACGTCTCTCTCTCATATAGTAATTTTATACAAAAACATCCATATATAGTGTAACACCAATGATTACGAGAGGCTGTACACTAGGCTAAATAGTGGAAATTGACGTGATTAAGGAGTTGGGGAATGAAGCCGATCGTGTGAGGCTTAATCAGACACGTGCAGTCTGCATGCAAGGACACTGATCAAACCCAGGATTGATCAAAATATCAATGTCGACGAAATTTATCCATTAAATAACACCATGCAGGAGGAAATTATTTTAACATACACAGGAAACAGTCCTTTGCAGGCAGGAACAGCAGAAACAACACTATTTATGCATTGATTAATTCTATTCCTCCGTCATCAATCAAGGGAGTACGTTTTTGTAGCTTGCAGCTCCCGAGTTCTTGGCGGACGGCGGTTGTTTCTTCGCCGTACTTTCGGAGGGGTTTGGGTTTCTTCCTCCGCCGGGCCATGATGTGGAGGGTCCTGTCCATATGCCTCCTGCTCGTCACATACAACCGATCGGGTAAGAGAAGAGCAACATTTAGAGATTAACAATGAGTAAAATACACGCGTTAAAGGTGAATGTAGTAACCTAGTTTGCGGGTTTTGGCCTCGACGACTCCAACGTTAGAGGAAAGACAGAGAAACAGAAGAAGCAGAGGCAAGAGAAGAGCATCACTTGATGACGTCTTCTTCGCCATTGCTCTTGCTCTTTTTCTAAGGTACATTTTGCATATATATATATATATATATATAGAAAGTGAAGCAACAGTCATACCACTCACATCAAATTTGGACCCTTTGATGAAATATTGGAACACAATCTTTATGTGTTACGTTTACTTAGACTTTTCGCCGTTTACTATCGAGACTCGAGCTTAAATATAGTACACTAGCTAGTAGTCTAAGATATTTTGAAAGAGAATTTTGTTTCTTTTGCTCTATTGACTCATTCTAATCCATCCAATTTTATGGAAAATATTATTGCTGTAACATTTTTTTATTTATTTATTTCATTTATCTATTTGTTTGCATATGAATTTTCGTTATTGAAATAACGATTATCTATAAGTTGAAAAACATGGTCTACATATACCAAATTGCATTATTTATAAACTCAACCATGAATTTTGTTTTTGGTAAGGGTTTTTCAATATATAAATAATAAGAAAAGAGAACAATTACGGTATTTCAAAAAATTACCAATAGCAATATACGATTAAGATGTGATAAACGTCTTCTCACCTTCTTAATTATGATTTAACGATTTTTTTTTTCAATTTTTTCTCATTGGACGAAGTTTTTATTGTTCCGTTGACTTTGATTTTTGGCGTTTTACAATATACGATTAATATGTAAACGTAACACATAAAGATTGTGTTCCAATATTTCATCAAATGGTCCGAATTTGATGTAAGTGGTGTGACTGTTAGACTGTTACTTCACTTTCTCTCTCTATACATATTTTGAAAAAAGTTTCTTTTTTTCTCTCTCCAATAATTATTTTTAGTCCATACAACTAATGGAAATAATAATATGATTGACGTAACATTTGTTTATTTGTTGCAATTATCTACTTGCGAACAACCTATTAAACTGTGTTTTGTTTTATCGAATATTATTTCAATTTTGATATTTATCAAATATCCCGATAAGGACCATGGTTACTAAGCGGAGAAACCTACATCTATGTCGAGAAATTAGAGATTTTGAAAACAATTAAAACATTATTTTATTGAATTTCCAGAAGAAGAAAAAAAGCATAATTAGTACCAATATATATTAGGGCAGCAACTACATGAGGAGGAAATTATTTAACATACAGAGGAACCAGTCCATTGTAGGACGACAACTACAACATCAGAAACAACAAGAACATCACCTAGTAGTAGTGGACCATTGATTCCTAGACACGATTACATACGCTTTATTAATTATTTATGCGTCGATTGATTTATTCAATTCCATGGGAATTATTAATTAATCATGGAAATGTGTTTTTATGTTTCGCAACTTCCGAGTTTTTGTGGAATTGGGTTTGTGTCTTCGTCATCCTTTCTGAATTGATTCTTCCTCCACCGTGCCCCGATGTGGAGGGGCCTGTCCATATAGTTCCTGCTTGTAACACAACAAAGCGATCATATACTATATTATATATGTAAACAAACGCATAAGAGATAATCTAAATAATGTTTTTATTGTACGAGAAACTTACCCTTTTTTCAAAATGTAGAATAATAACCATCAATTAATATGATTTAAAGTTTTGCCCTTTGTTGTGTATATATATATATATATATATATATATATATATATATATATATGTATTCCTCAACTCGAAGCCGGCAAACAGAAAATCATGAACTATGTCACTAATTAAATACACGTGTTAAAAATAGAACTAACCTAGTTTGCGGTGTTTGGCCTCGACGACGACGACGACTCCAACGTTTGAGGAAAGACAGAGAAGGAGAAGAAGCAGAGCTAAGAGAAGAGCCACTCTCGATGATGTCTTCGTCGCCATTGCAAGTCTCGGATGCTTACTTGTAAGTCTTTGCTCTTTCTATCATACATGCATATATACATATATATATATATATAGAGAGAGAGAATCAATGGCCAATGGCCATACCACCTAACTTTCAACCATTAACAAAGCTTTAAATTAACAATAAATATCGACGCGGTTTCAAAGTTTCACATGACTTTTTTGCCGTTGACCGATCGAGACGTAAGCTTCAATACAGTAATAGTCAAAGAATATGATGAAATGAATTTTCTTTATTTAAATATAATGATCTGTAATCCCATTTGTAACGAATCAACACTCCCTTAAATATTATTAGTATTTAATATACTCTGCCATAAATTTATTATTTATCATTAATTTATTGCTTTTATAACAAGTAAATTTATTATTTATTCTTTTTTATTCTTATCTTGAATTAACATGTGCACATTTTCAAATACGCATTTAGGAGACAAATCAGTTAAAGAAATAAATTGTTTTGCGATACAAAAGCCTATCCATAGGACATATCGCGGAAACATATCAATGAAAAATGTTCATGTGACTATTTGGATCATTCTCTTACACGAAATATCATGCGTGTACTTTCTTCAATTTATTATACATATAATCCATGGTCGTATACGTTATATATCAAGTCCCCATCACATTTTTTATGGACCGGCACCTCGGCATGATTTTGAGCCCGGGGTGTATATAGGTGGACACATCGGACCCCGTTGCAACTGACGTCGAAATATACCTAATCAATAATAATACCAAATTAATATTCTGAATATTTATCATTAGTCTATTAATACATCTGATAATAAATTTGACTAGATCCCCTATATATATATATGTGTGTGTGTGTGTGTGTTCATGTATGTGAAATTCAAAGGTACCATCTCCGACCTGGTTCACGGTGCGTAGCCTCCGTGATTCCAACGTTAGAGGAAAACCCTATCCATAGCAGAAGCATAGTTAGCCAAACAGCAATACGATGATTTCTTCACAAAAAAATAATTGTTTTTTTATCCATTTGGGAAAAAAAATGGATAAAATTAATCCAAGCAATGACTCTAAGAAAAAAAAAAACACAAAAAGAAAATAAAAGAGAAGAAGCATCGCCGGTTACTAATTTTAAATTGGGAAAACCTACGAGGAAAATACGATCTTTGAAATTAAAAGGCTCGCTGACAATTCCCTTTCTGGGTTCGAACCTCTGAACACTCATGCCTCTCTCTCTCTCTATATATATATGTATATGTGTATATATATATATAAATGCATATAAAGGATACTGACCTAATTTTCGGTGTGAAGCCTCGATGAATCCAAATTGAGAAGAAAGGCATGTAACAAATAGAATCCAAGCAAGCACAAGAGCAATACATGGTCTCCTTGTAGCCATCCTTCCTCTTTTATGACATATAGCATGTTACATGCTATATGTACACACACATATATATATCGGACAGAACCAAAGCCACCAAGTTTGAATATGTCAAAGTCAAAGATTAATGTTTCAGTTGTAGAAATAAATGGACACGTACGGAGTTACTGTATCTCTAAAAGATTTTTTTTTTGGTAACGGTAATTGTATTATAAAGTCATATATACAATCAACTACGATTGAACAATTGAGCAATGACACGACTGCTTTATGGCCATTGGGCTTCTCTATTATAGAGTTCATAATAATAGAGAAGGAGAATCAAATAAAATATTACTTAAAACATGAATAAATTAAAACTTGATCTTAAATTAAAAGGTGAGCAAATTGTACCTTCTTTTGTTTCCGTAGTAAATTATATTTTTAACTACGTATTCTATAAAATACCTTTATTTTTATTATATATTATTAATTAATATCCTAGTTTTTTTAAAATTAATTATTATATCATATTCTTAAAAAAAATACCAATATATTGTCTCATTCATCTCTTTTTTTTTTCCATGACTAGACCAAACTTTAAATTCACAAATCACAATCGTTGTTCATGGAAACGAGACAAGATCCAAATGGATCAAACTCGCAAAGCTATATATATATATGAAATTCAGTAGTCTTCCGATTCACATTAATTTCGTCGTTGGGTTTAGATCAAGGAACTTGGTTTTGAGAGAATTGTCTGGGACGTCTGCATGGTTTCTTGGCCGCAATTGCTTCTGAAGAGTACTTAGCAATGGGAGCTCCACATGTGTGGGAAGGTGGTGTCTCTATGTAAGGACCCATTTTGCCACCTGTTCACATTTACATAGAAGAGAGTATATACATATATATATAGTATTAAAAAATCATTTGGACCTTCAAGATTTGAAATGAAGCAACCGATTCAGGAAGATATGGCTCTTGCAAGAAATGCAACAACTCAAGGCATTTGTTTTTTCAAATTAAGATTTAATTTAACGCAACATATTTCAGATTCTTCGAGGAAACCCCAAATACTGACCTGGTCTTGTGACTTGAGCTCCGGTGAGTTCACCATGAAGAGATAGATAGAGAAACAGAAGAAGAAGAGGGATGTGTATACTCTTCTTCGCCATTGACACGCTTCTTCGCCACTATTTGCTCTCTTTGTCACCAATCTATCTATATATATATATAGGTAGATAGATGGATATATACATGTAGAGAGAGAGAGAGAGGACTAAATATAATAATACCTTGACCCATAAAGAGATCCATCAAGTTTATTTTCACAATAGAAAATGGAGGAGCATGGTTGGAAATTAGGAGCAGTGTGCTAAAATTCTTTGCAATAAATTGACGCGGTTGGTACCAAAGGCGCTAGTTTCCGATGCTTTCCTTCTAAAGTCAAAAGTGTAACGACTTTTTAGCCAATCTATTTTCTTTTTTGAAAAAATATCATATAAATACCTAAACTTTTACAAAAATTTTATATAAATACCTAAACTATAAAATTTTTATATAAATACCTAAACTTTTAAAAATTCTATGTAAATACTTAGACTTTTAAAAAAATTTCCAAATAAATATAAATTTAAAATATTTTTTAAATAAAAATAGGTGATGTTATTAACGTATTTTGGATTCATTTGAGAATTTTTCAGAAGCATAGGTATTTACATAGGAATTTAGAAAAGTTTAGGTATTTATATAGAAATTTTATAGTTCAAGATATTTATATAAATTTTTGTAAAAGTTTAGATATAATTATATACTATTTTTACTTATTTTTCCCCCTAGTTTACGTATACATTGCTTACGGTATACCAACCTTGCGATTATTTAATATATATATATATATAGAGAGAGAGAGAGCAACTGAGTTTGAATATGTCAATGATTGTGATGGTGAAGACTGAAAGTGATGCCTAAATTATGTGATAACATGGACCAACAAAACCACGTCATGAATTGGGCTCAATCATAAAGGAGTATTGGGTTTAATTGGGCTACAAAGGCCCATTAAGAAGCTCATCACGTTCATTTGACCGTTGTTAGTTCTTTTTTATACATTTAAACTGAAGATTACGGATCTGCCCCTCGACCAAAACAGTTTCATCTACAAATTATTATATGCATGTGAAAATATAAAGGTTAGTTATAAATTATCTGCATGTGAAATATATACAACTCGCAATTGAAACATGAGAAATCATATTAATCATTGTTTTATTTATCTTTATCTAATGCTAATCTTTTTGGCACCGGCTGCATTATCGGAAATTTGGATTTTCAAAAAATTCAAATTCGGGGTGAAGGTTCCGCGTAGTTTTTCAACCATAATTTCGTATGTTACATATATATATATATATATATGTACATAATGTGATGAAACTGCTACGAAGAAACCGTGGGCTGAAGAAATCCGCAGCCTTGATGGACTTTTCGTACCATGAGATCTACTACGTTGTTTCCTACAGGCCGAAAGGGACAAAAAATGTTGACTTTGTATTAAAACAAATATTCATCAAAATACGTAGTTGGTGACAGATTATCATCGTCATTAGCCTTTGGATTGGACCGTCTCGACCTCCTTATTATTATAACATCAATTCATATAATAAACAATTTGGACTAACCATTCACGCGTATATGTGTATGTATAAAAGACACACGAGGAATACAGGTATATGGATAAATTGAGAAAGTAAGAGAAATGACGAAGAGGGCACCACTCTCTTCTCTATGCATCCTTGTGCTCCTAATGCCTCTCGTGATATTCGTACAGCCAGAAACAATCCCTTCTCAAACAATAAATCATCGTAAAATTGGTGAGTTTCCTTTCTTCTAATCAATCATTTATATGTTTATTAGTTTGTATTAATGATTTCATTTCCGCTTTATTTTCGGATTGAGTTTTTTTTTTCAAATTTAATTTTATATTTATAACTATTTGTCTTTGTTTCGCGATTATTAATCTCATGCCTCATTTTTTTATAACTTGGATTTTGTTTTTAAAAAAAAAAAAAATCTATTTAATTATTACGGAATTATTTTACCGTATGCACTTTCTTTGCTTCTCAATTTCGATCTTACATCTTTGTTTAGCCATAAATTTGTCAAGACTCTGTAACCAAAAGAAATATTGTGTCATAATATTCCATAGCTTATATTGGGTGGCAAAATAGTTTCATGGGTAAATCACATTTAATGTAATTCATTACGAAAACGTTATAGCTTAAATTCAATTCGAGTCGTTTCCGTATAGTTTTATGGATATGAAAACACTTGAATAAAACATGAAATCATTTCGTCCTTTCTCTAACCATATAGAATGCATGGGATTATTATATTTTTTTAAGGGGTTACGAAAGGAGAGAGAGAAGGGATGGAACATTTGATTCACCAAAGAAAAGTGATTGCAAGGCCAAGCAGATCACCAAGAGGACCATCGAAAGGTCATCCCCCGGGAAGACCCCTAAAGCTCCTTTAGCGCTTCACAATCATATTATATATATATATATATGAATAATTATTTTTTTGTTAAATATATGAATAATTATGATTAGATCGTACCATTGTATCTAGACAATAATTTTGTTTGTTGAATAGAATTTGTCAAAGTGAGCCGTGGTACATGAATGAAACGAGTTGCATAGAAAGATGACTGTGGACTTATTTTGTATGCAATGCATTAATAGAATATGCAAATGCTGGACTCTAAGCGAAGCCCTAATGAAAGTCGAAGATTTAATCAATCAATTGCATTCATTGGATAAAAGGGGATAGGTTTTATTAGTTTAATAAATTATCAAACAAATCCAAACCAAATAAAAAAACAAATAAACTCTTATAAATGTAAAATTTCTGTAGATATTGAATTGAAAAACTGTTAGAAATAAACAAACATAATATTAATTCAAATTTCGTTTTCTCTTTGAATGCAATTCATACTTGTTGATTTTTATGCGCCTGATAAATGTAACATTGTTACAATTTTTCCCACGTGGGAAATCGTGATTTTTTTTTTTAAAAACTTTGCTAAATAATAAATGATTTCGTAAAGATAATTAAAGACAAGAAAAATATATTTAGAAAAAAAGAAAAAGATATAGCCGTTGCACGTTGCTTCCTTGCTTCCTCTCTAAGCATTCATATTCTTAACAACGGTCATATGATATGACGGTGATACAGAATTCCTCTGCCCAAATTCATCAAACCCACATTCAAAAACCCTAAATTTAACAAACCCACAAAAATGGGAATCTCCGAATCCCATGGAAAACACTCACAACATATTCCTCTTAATGCAATTACATACCAATGTGTTCATCTTCGGCCTCTCCCTCACCCTCCTCCACGTCATCGCCTTCTCCGGCAGCAACGCAGTGTCAGAAGACGCCGATATCAGCGACTGCCGTTTTTCAAGGGTCGGTCTCTGCTTTGGTGTTCACTGGAACAGGCGATTTTCTCCGGACCCCGAGATCGTACGTCGGAGAGGACGACGGGGAAGTGATTCTGAAGCTGGTGGGCGGATTGTGCGGCCTGATCTTCTGCTTGGAGTGGAAGGTTCTTCCGCTGGCTTTCTTGCTGAAGCACAATGCCTATCCGGAAGAAGATCTCAAAGATTTTCCTTCTTCCCCCTCTTCAAATCGAGTTTTCGCTTCGTATTGCCAAATTTCTTGTTCATACTTGGCACTGGTGCTTGTAAAGGAGCCATGATCTTGAGATGTTACTGAATATTTGGTTATGAATTGCTCTCATTACAAAAGGTTTCTTTCTTGTGAATTAGACCTTGTCCTTAATTCGGCAACAAAAGCTTGAGCAATTCTAATGTGACAAAAACCCATTTTTTACTCCGCAAGTGCTTATAAGTCTAAAAATTACATACTTGCACATATGCCACAAGACTCATTCTCAAGTCTTTACAAGTAATAAACCTCGGGATGCAATTACGGATCAGAAAATCTGCATCCTCGGAAGGCGAAAGATGGGGCCAAAGTTGAAGGATTGAGACAAGATGTGAGATATAGAGACAAGACTTGTTAGTTGTTTTAGTCCTTGCATCCATCTGGCTCCTGGGGCATAGTTCTTGGCTTCAGAGATGGCTCGGGTGACTTTGATGATGGAGGCAAACAACGTTTCGAAAAGAACGAGGAGATTGTTTTTGCCCTCTTAACGCCTTTGTCTGGTGATGGCGTTAATCCGAGCTTTGACAATATTTCCTCTTTCACCTGCATCAGAATCAATTTTTGTCAGAGATTCCAGTGGTCTGAATACTACAAACAAATCCCGGTTTGTATTGTCTGTATCCGGCCTTGATTGCTAACGAGAGTTAAAAACGGGTTCATTAGTTGGATTAGCCAAGATTAAACATCTCAGTTTAATTTCCTCCGAACCAGTTCAAATAAAGTTTGTAGACAGTGAACAAGGATGATAAAATAGACCATCAAATATGAAACCAACAACTAACCTGCCATCGGTTATCCTCGAAATTCGATATCTCCCGCACTGTACTTCTTAAGCGGGCCTTTGAGACATCGGGGAACTTTTGCTGCAATGATTCCACCACCTTGTTCATACCTTGAGAACATGACTGGATTATAGACACCTGAAAGCAAAACATTTTATGTTAGAACTTACAACCAAAGATCCATTTCTACAAGTCATTTGGATTTACTTAAATATCATTCACTTTGCCATTCTTGTGATTACTTTGGGTGCAACAATGATGTCAGACTGGGTTGTTGAAAAAAATAAGAGAATTCACTTACAACTGTGAGCAAATCTAAGTCTGGCATGGATTTCACACTTGGTGGGGGTGGAGGAGTGTTGGAACTACAAGGGGAGTTACTGACTTCTGGATCCTCATCTTCCATGTTCATCGATATCTCAATGAGTGGAGACCCGGGTAATGGCCTCATGACAAGAGCTTGCAGACATATCTGTTCCATTTTCTGTGTCCCGTCTACCTCTTTAGCTGTTAAATGTGGCGTTTTTTCATGCATTAGATTGCATATAATCAGCGGTTGACATTTCTTCAGCGCATGTTCTGTCAAACCATGCAGATGCTTTTGTTGATGCAGCAGTGCACGAAAATCCTGACTCTCTTGGTCTTGCTTAGAAGCAGGTGAACTTGTTTCCCGTACAGAAGGATCAATGTCCATTCTATCCACTTGCACCCCCTGAAAAAACCAAGCAAGAAGTTTAAGCAAAGAAACACAAACTCATGATTAACATTTTCCTTTTACATAAGAATAACAATTGCGGATGATTGTTTTAATGTCCAAGGGCCATCTGATCATAATAAAGAAAACTGTGGCTTGATGGAAATTCCTATGCTGTTAGTTTAGACTTGAAGTATGTTTGAAGAGTATTTTTGAAATGTCATTCCTACCTCGTCTTCGGAGAGATATCCATCAGGCACAAAGAAGCCATCTTCACTGTCATCTTCATCATCAGCTCTTGAGCATCCTTCCTCCAGACATTCCTCCTCATTTTCGCAATCGGAAAGGCTTTCACCTGGCTCTTCCTATAAACATGAATGTACAGCTGTAACTAGAGAGACCATTTCGAGTTTCTGGGCAGTAAAAGCACGTTAGAAGTTTCATACAGCAATTGCCAACTCTAGTCAAGCAGAAAAATGAATTACCTCTTCCCATTCTTCATCACTGTCAATTTCATAATCCAGGTCTGGATCCTTTTTCAGAGGATGTCGTGGCCCTATGACTTGACTGTAAATGTTGAACATGAGAATGAACAACGACATAGTCAACAAACAAATTTGGAAGCCCACTACATAACATAATCAAGGGAGTTTAAAGCATCATGATGTTGTATCTCTTACTAGCATCACTAGAAATCCAAAGGGATGGTAAAACACAACCAACATATGCAAGCTAATTGGTCGAATGTATTCACAAGAATGACAAGCAAATCCAAAAATAAACAAAACATGAAGAGAAAAGTGGAATGGATCATAACATGATGTTATGTTTCATCATGTTTTGTTTATAGAATCATATGATTAAGGGATATGCCCCACAGGAAGCAGAAACAACTTTGTCAGTAGTAACAACTTAGTGACAACCTTGGCAGAAATATAACCAGTGAAACAGAACAAGTATGCGCATGATGCCAGATAACCCTTCACAACATATTTCAAACCTAGCAAAAGTAGATATGAATCTAAATAATATGATTCCAGATAATCTAGCTTTAAAACATCGAATAAATGTCGTTCGCTAATGCAAATGCTAACCTTTGGCGTGGCCAGATACCATAAAACGCTGGTCTGTAGCTTTTATCAAATTGTAACAACTGTACAGCCCTCCTGGACTTCTTAACACCAGAGGACGACGAAGAATCACATTGACTAGCGCATGATTCTCTGCCCAAGTTCTTCTCTTCCCAAACATCTTCTTGATTCTCCATGCCATGCTCATTGTCACTTGCTGGTCCCTTATTTGTAGATAGCTTTAGTTCTGGAAACAGTTCACTCTTAGGTTTCTTACGCATACCCCAATGTTGTTTCAAACTTGAATGTATCCTGTGACCTAACCGACGCCAGGAAGCAAAGTGCATGCTGCAAGCAACATAGTTTCAGACCAAAATATCAAAAAAACACATAGACATTGAACGGAGAAAAGTGAGACCTAACAGGTCAATCAAAGAAAAAGAAACCGGTTATACCTACGAAGATCATCAATGTTAGTTTCACAAGATGCTGAAAAAGCACAGTCCATAGCCTGGATAACTGTTTCAGTTGCATTTTCATCTTTTGCCAATGATGAATCAGGAGCTGTTACTTCTTCAGAAGGAAGTTCATTCTGGGTCACTGCAATAGTTTTGTTTCTTTTAAGAAACTGCTCCATAATTGAAGCCTGTTTCTGTAGAGCAACTTGCTTCTTTAGCTCAGCTTGCTCCTTCTGCCTTCGCTTTTGTTCCCTCTCCGAGTCATCTTGCTGTTTCTTTATCCGTTTCCTTGACTCAGACTCTTCCTTTTCTTTCTGTTTTTCACCATTATCTGTCTCCTGCAGCATCTTTTGCTCTTTTTCCTGACAAGAAAGATAAACACAAAGTAAGAATTAAGAATCAGCTAAGACACTCAAACGAGGCTCCAAAAGAGATAAGGCAGCAGAGATAATTGTAAATGAATTTGGAAAGAAAAAATATCAACTCACATATTCCACTCTTTCTTTCATCATTTGACGGTCCATTTTTTTCTTTTCCTTCTCAGCCTCACGTTTATTTCTCTCCATTTGTTTAATAAGCATTTTCTCTTCTCGCTTTGCATCTTTCTCAGCCCTAAAAGGTCAATACACAATTTGACTATCAAGAAAAGAGACAAATAAGTATAAATCACCACATGATGAATGAAGGTGCTTACATCTCTGCATTGTTCTTCTGCAGCATGTTATCCATGAATGACCGTATATCTGCCTCACTCAGTACTTTACCAAGTTTTTCTGCAGCTTTGTTCAGGTTACTTCTGTATGATTTTTCACTCTCCGCCTTTTCTAGTGCAGCTATCATTGCTGAAATAGACATAAGCATAAGACTCTCATATCCTACACTTAATTGATGTGAATCATCATAAGAAGTAACTTACCAGAAACAGCAGTAATCCTTTCATGGATCTTCTTTCGACAAATCCGACGAATTTTTAGTGTTCCACGAGCAGCTTTGGGTAACAGTTTTAGATCCCTTGTCTGTCAAATAAAAAAAGTATCCATCTCAATCATTAGATGATGCCATCAAACCAATAAATTACACTGAATTACCATTCCTAGCAGGATACATAGGTAGAAGCTCGACTCACACAGTAGCAATGCAATTATTAAACTTTAAAATAAAAACTCAATTGCCTGAAAGAGGCTACAGAATATCAGATGATAGGAATTGCGATCAAGAGTGACCTGCACAATATCTAACTGAATAAAAATCAATTAAGATTTCTGTCCTTATGTTCAGATCCATATTTTGAGAACTCAGAAACAAGTAAACTCAACTCCAGTCCAAAGTTCCGACTAAGAAAAGAACACAAAAGCAACTCAAACTAACTTCAAGACCAAAGCAATGACCAAGAATCATATAAAACATAGAAGCATGAAAGGAGCAGTGAGCCATCCAATAACCCAAAATGCTAAAGAATATGAAAAGCAATTGTAACCAGGAGTGACAGGATCAAACAGAATAGTAACCAATTCATCCTAATCCAATCTTGGGAATTCAGAAACTATTAACCAAAACTCCTATGGAACAGAGATACGGAACATCTCTACAAATTGCACAAACTAGCAGTTCATCACCTAAAACACTCACATTAACTACCAAAGAAAAACAACTACTGAGAATCATGTGAAACACAAAACTATAAACCAACGCAAGAAACGGGCAGTGAACTGTTGATTACCTCCCAACACCAGAGACATGACTCTGTCTCATCCTCCAATACATCGGCGTCAGCATTGTGCACGCCGTATATCACTCTCTGGCCGACAGAAACGACGGCGGTCTTCACCCCCGCCGCCGACACTGTCTCCATCTTCTCCTTTAGTTTCGAGTGAATCACATCCACCAGCTTCGACAATGGCAAACTCTTCTCCTCCATCAAAACAGCCGCCATGGCGTTCACGGAGGAACATTCGCTGAACCCTGAAGCCAGATCTGGATCTTGACCCATCATTTCTCTGTAATACCCGAAAAGCCCTTCCATTTCCTTCTTCAATGCTTCGATCTGTGCTTGCTTTTGCGCGTCGCTCAAGCTTTCTACCGCAGAAGATTCTCTCTTCCGCTTCTGCGATTTCTTCGGCAGACCCTGTCCGTTCGTTTTCCCATTTTCGCCGGTCATCACCATCGGAAGCTCCTCCATCGCAACCCAGACACCCTAAAAGCTATGAAACCACCACTACAACAAAACCAAATAATAACCCAAACAAAATTACGAGATCTAAAACCTACCCAGAGGAATCCGCGAGGAAAAAAACACGAAGATCGTCCTCTAGACCCCGACACAATGGTTAAGAAAATTAGGATTGTTCTCGGGAGCTTCGTATGATGGGAAACCTTTCCCGCTTCGATTAATGGAGGGAGAGAGGGAGGGGGAGGGTTTCAACTTTTTCGAGAAAAATTTCCCGCCATAGATTTGACAGATGAATTTGCCTCCAAATGACACAAATGCAATTTCCTGCGGTTTCGCAATCAAAATGTTCGGGACATTTGTCGGCCCAAAACGAAGGAAAACCAACTAAAACAGCCACGTGTTTTTTCAGCTTTATTTTACGGCCCAAATATCGTGGATTTGGGCTTGACAAATACGCGTGGCCTGATATGCCCGAGAGAACGTGGCATGTAATGGGACCACGAGCGGTGCAATCTAGATCGTTGGATCTTGTAATGCATCCGTGACCATTGGATCATGAGATGTATCTATGACCGTTGGGTCGAAATAATCTTAGCCGTTAAGATTAAACTACACGAACTAAGAGTTATATATACGTCAGAGAGATTTTTAGGGTTTTTAAAATTTAAAAACCAAAAAAATTGACAATAAATTTTTGGAAAATTAGCTTTTTAAAAATTTGGAAGATATTTTTGACGAAAAAAATAATTAAAAATTGAAAAACTCTATTTTTTAATTTACATAACCAAAAACCAAAAACTAAAATACAAAAATAAAAAACAAAAAATTAGCCGAAAACACAAAATAAAAACTACAGGATGTAGCACTAAAACCTCATTAAACAGGCGATCAAAACAGTTTCATCGTTGCAATTCTTCACCTTTATATGATAAGATGAGAAAAAAATACAATAACTATATTCCATTTCCTTATCCTCCATTTGTCAATTGATGACGATTTTTTTTATAATAAACTATGATTGTATTTTCTAATTTGATTGTGTTTGTAACTCTAATGGTCTGTCCAAAACATTTTATTCTCATCCTATTTTATTATTGTCTTAAGATACACGAATAAAAACATTTAACTGATTCTATTTCGTCACTTGGTTTTTTTTTTCAAGTTATAATATTATTGTAAATGAAAACAAATTAAAAAAATTGCCAATATAATGATTAGTTGTTTTAATAAAATTCAGACAAATTTATTTATATTTATTTGATTCTCCTAATTATTTTATTCGGTCACCAAATGGTTTCCCCCCGAAGAGCTGCTGTATTTATTTCTTTTTCCTCTCTGCGAAAATGAGTCTCTCAATATAAAACTTCGATCCTTCGACACCGGCTTCTCTGTATCAGTTCTCCGCTAGGGCTTTTCGCATTCGCTTCGGCCAATCATCTCCGGTACGCTTCACTGATTCCAGATTCCTATCTTTATCTTTCGCTAAATTTCTATACTTTCCGTGTTTCTCTCTCCATAAGCACGAGGGCTTTCGTTCTTCGCCCTTCTCAGAATCGGAATCGCTTGTGTCGTTGTCGGTTGCAGCTTCTAGGGTTTTTTGTTTCTGTCCGTCGTCCTCAAATTTGTTTGCTGAAGCATGGCGAGGAACGCTGTTTACGATGATGAAGGTAAATAGAGCTTTGCGGCTGAAACCCTAATTTGCTTGGGTAAAGGGCCTTGAATTTTCGAAGGTTTTTGTTTTATTCTGAAAGCTATGAGTGATTGATAGTTTGATTTCCGCACAGACGATGCTGAGCTTGAGGACGAGGAGGGAGAGCCTGTCCATGGAGACCCAGTTGAGGGCCGTGGCGATGATGAGGATGAAGACGAAGAAGAAGGTGAGTTTTTGCTGCCTGATTTTAGATATTCCGAGTAAGAATGGGTGGGTGTTTTTCGTTCCACTATTTAGTTTTAGAGGTCCCTCCCTTTCCTTTCTCTTGTTTCTTCTTGATTTTGGGTCTGTCACTGTAATTTAGCGTGATTGCAGCTCCACTCGTTTGAGAGAAACCTAAAAGCATCTTGAAATTGTTCGAGTTTTTAGATTTGTTGAAACATGTTTAGTTGCGTAAATGTCCGAATTTGGGAAAAGGAGACAATTAGGAAGTCACGTTTGTGGTCTGAAGGAATTAGTAGTGAATGAATCAGTTTTGTGTGTCTGGGTAGAAGTTTATCATTTTATGGTAATAACTAATAACTAAGTAGTATTATGTTGATGTTTATCTGGTTGTAGATTTTTTCTTCTACCCACTTCTTTTCCATTCAAACCTTGAAATGTCTCTTGTGGATGCAATTCTCGATGTATACCTAGGATTGTTGCCTTTCAGATCACCCCCTTGTTTCTGAGATTATGATTTCGTAGGCTAGGGTGATAAATTTTGTTATCTTTTGCTTTGGGCCATGGGTGTGGTTTATGTGGTCTTTTGCTCTGAGTTTTTGGCTAATAGTGTGCCATTGCCATGTGAATCCTATTTCTCTTTTATAGGTCAGGATGAGTATGAGGATGATGGGTTCATAGTGGATGATGTTGATGAAGAAGAGGAAGAACAAGAAGAAGAAGAAGAAGAAGAGAAGCAAGATAGTGATGAGGAGAGGCAGAAGAAAAAGAAGAAACGAAGAAAAAAGTGGGTCTTTTATTCTCTTCCTGTTTTTCAAATTTCATGTTTTTTTGACTGCGGAATGCTTTATGAAAATGGAGTCATGGTGGAAATTCTTAATAAAGCTTTATTTTAATTTCGTTAAAGTATATGTCTGTGGTCTGTATTGCTTTGTTGTATTGTTCAATTTGCCAATGACCGATATGCTGCACTTTTTCTGTTATCTTTCTGATCTATCTTTTCCATGAGATGATTTATCTAGGGATGATGATCTTGATGAAGATGATTACTTACTTCTCCAAGATAACAACATCAATATCCAAAAGGTTGGCCATGCTTGCACTTGTACATATGTCTATTTTTCATGATTCATTCTTTTGGCATTTTCTTACAGAAACACATTCCATACTAACATATTTAGTGATTCTTTCTTTTAACACAACAGAAGAAGTACAAACGGTTGAAGAAAGCGCGGAGAGAATCTGAAGGTGGAATGGGGTTATCTGATGATGAATTTGATGGAAGTGGTCTAGGTGGACGAACTGCTGAGGAGAAGATTAAAGACAGGCTATTCGATGATGACGATGGTATATGCTCTTGGGTTCTTCTTCTGTAGATCTTTTATATGGACTCTGTCTGTATTTTCTTATGCCTCTTTTGTGTCTAGGAGGTCCGCTTGAAGATGTGGGCGATGAGGAAGAACTGGTAGAGGAAGAAGATATCGAGATCGGGGACGATGATGAAATGGCAGACTTCATTGTAGAGGAAGATGAACTCGATGAGCATGGTGCTCCTGTCAGGTATAGTTCTTTCTGTTTATTTCTAATCAGTTGTCTTGAGATTAGACGATCTAATCAAATTGTTCTTCAGGCGGAAGAAGGTGAGAAAGAAATCTAGGCAGGCGCCAGGAGTTTCATCATCAGCTTTGCAGGAAGCTGCTGATATATTCGGTGATGTTGAAGAACTATTGAAACTCCGCAAGAAAGGTTTGGCGTCTAATGAAAGGATGGAAAGAAGGCTTGAAGATGAATTCGAACCAACTGTACTCTCTGAAAAGTATATGACAGAGAAGGATGATGAGATTCGCATACTTGATATTCCCGAGAGAATGCAGGTTATCTGATGCAGTTTTTGTTTGCTTGTTCTTGGTCCTTGGTTTTATTTGGTGTTCTTCAAGGTAGGTATAATGTGGTCTCTTTGGTAAACTTTTTACAGATATCTGAAGAAAGCACTGGTAGTCCTCCCATAGACGAAATTAGTATTGAGGAAGAGAGCAATTGGATATATGCCCAACTCTCAACTTTGTTAAAAGGTCCGGATCAACAAGGTTTGCATGCTTTTGAGGGGCAGGATGTCTCCATAAACAAGGATGATATCACACGATTTTTGGAGTTACATCATGTGCAGAAACTAGAGGTGATTTTTGTGGTGATTTATCTGATTGGAGATACATCTTTTTTTTTAAACAATATAAATTTATCTGATTGTTGTGGTGGTTTTTCTTGTTCTTCTAGATACCCTTTATAGCTATGTACCGGAAAGAGCAGTGCAGGAGCTTATTGGATGGTGCTGATTTTGGTGATGTCAATGCAGACAAGAAACCGGAAGTCAAATGGCATAAGGTAAGCTGTTTTATAGTTATCAACAAAACTGCCATTCAACATTATTATACTTGAGAAACTTGGTGAAACTGTAACGAAATGCATATATAGGTCTTCTGGACGATTCAGGACTTGGATAGAAAATGGTTACTTCTTCAAAAGAGGAAAGCAGCGCTGCATGGTTATTATACAAAGCGTTTTGAAGAAGAGTCTAGGCGTATATACGATGAGACGAGGCTTAATCTAAATCAGCATCTCTTTGAATCAATTATTAAGTCTCTTAAGGCTGCTGAAACTGAAAGAGAAGTTGATGATGTAGACTCAAAGTTCAACTTGCATTTTCCTCCTGGTGAAATTGACGTTGATGAAGGGCAGTACAAGAGGCCCAAAAGGAAATCACTTTATAGCATTTGCAGCAAGGCTGGGCTTTGGGAGGTTGCAAACAAGTTTGGGTACAGTGCTGAACAACTTGGGCTAGCATTGTCCCTAGAAAAGCTGGTTAGTGTGATGTTTTCGTTATTGGTTTTTTGTTGTGCTGGACTAACATTTCTCAACTGCTTAGGTTGATGAACTGGAGGATGCAAAAGAAACACCAGAGGATATGGCATCAAATTTCGTGTGTGCGATGTTTGAAAATCCCCTAGCAGTCCTGAAGGGTGCTCGGCATATGGTACTGTTTTCATATAAGTAACACTCTGGATGGATTTTTTTCGCTTGATCTAATTTTTGAAGAGATACCCCTAACGTCATACTGAGAGATGGCATTTTCTCTCTTTTCTAATAGGCTGCCATTGAGATAAGTTGCGAGCCGTCGGTCAAAAAGTATGTCCGTGGCATTTATATGGAGAATGCAGTGATCTCAACGAGTCCTACTCAAGATGGGAATGTGGTAATAGACACTTTCCATCAGTTTTCGGGGGTTAAGTGGTTACGTGAAAAGCCATTGAGCAAGTTTCAGGATGCACAATGGCTTCTCATCCAGAAGGCTGAAGAGGAGAAACTTCTCCAAGTAACCTTCAAGCTGCCAGAAAATTACATGAATAGGTTAATCAGCGACTGCAATGAACACTATCTGAGTGTTGGTGTAAGTAAATATGCTCAACTTTGGAATGAGCAGAGGAAATTGATATTGGAGGATGCACTTCACAATTTTCTTTTGCCTTCAATGGAGAAAGAAGCAAGATCCTTGTTGTCTAGCAGATCAAAGAGTTGGTTGCTTTCAGAGTATGGGCAGGCTTTATGGAACAAAGTGTCTGCCGGGCCATATCAAAAGAAGGATATGGACATTGGCTCAGATGATGATGCTGTACCACGGGTCATGGCATGCTGTTGGGGTCCTGGAAAACCAGCAAATACGTTTGTGATGCTGGATTCATCTGGAGAGGTGCTTGATGTGCTTTATGCTGGGTCCCTCACTTTGCGATCTCAAAACGTGAATGACCAGCAACGTAAAAAGAATGACCAGGATCGTGTTTTAAAGTTTATGATGGACCATCAGCCACATGTTGTGGCTCTAGGAGCTGTCAATTTGAATTGCACTCGTCTGAAGGATGATATTTATGAGGTAAGTGTTTTTTGCACCACAACGAGTGGGCCCAATGTCTCATTCTAGATTGGCTTATGGGTTTAAAGTTGGTGTTCTTGAAACAAGTTAGGATTCTGTGAACATTGGCTGTGAAGTTGATGCAGTTTTGAGGTTCTATTGAAGGTCTCATTAATCTGTCATGCATCAGTCAGTTATTCTTTAATTTCTGTGACTGCCAATTTTACTTTTAGATAAATATGTTGTCAATTAAATTGGATTTCACGAGAAGAATCTTTTATTAAGTTAATGATTTCCAGTCTTTGGACGTGTAGAGATCTTTTACCTTACACTCTTAAGTTTATTGTTGAATTATTTGGTGTACCATATTCACATGGTTCTAGTAAAATGTTATAATTGGTGTCTCCTCGGAGTTTCCTCACTATCTGGTTGATATTTGACGGGAAAAGCTTTCGAGTTTCTTCTTTTGTTGGTCTGTTTGTGCACCAGATTCAAATTTATTTGATCTATATTACTGTTGCATTGTAATTAAGCCTTTTCTGTTTTATTACATCAGGTTATCTTTAAGATGGTTGAGGAAAATCCAAGAGATGTCGGGCATGAGATGGACGAGTTAAGCTGTGTGTATGTCGACGAAGCTCTTCCCAGGCTCTATGAAAATTCCCGGATCTCTGCGGAACAGCTACCTCAGCAGTCAGGAATTGTGAAACGTGCAGTCGCTCTTGGACGCTATCTTCAGAACCCATTGGCAACAGTTGCCACTTTATGTGGACCGGGTAGGGAAATCTTGTCTTGGAAACTTCATGCCTTGGAGAATTTCCTTTCACCAGACGAGAAGTATGGGATGGTTGAAAATGTTATGGTCGATGTGACAAACCAGGTTGGAATCGACGTTAATTTGGCTGCAAGCCATGAATGGTTATTTGCTCCTTTGCAGTTCATTTCTGGGCTTGGACCTAGAAAAGCTGCCTCCTTGCAGAGGTCTCTTGTCAGAGCTGGTTCAATTTTTGTCCGTAAGGACTTGATATCTCATGGGCTTGGTAAAAAGGTTTTTGTGAATGCAGCTGGCTTCTTGCGTATTCGTCGAAGTGGGCTGGCTGCTAGTAGCAGCCAGTTTCTTGATTTATTGGATGACACAAGAATACACCCTGAATCTTATGGTCTTGCACAGGAACTAGCGAGAGATATTTATGAAGAGGATGTAAAAGGTGATTCAAATGATGATGAGGATGCAGTAGAGATGGCAATAGAGCATGTGAGAGATAGGCCTAGCTTATTGAGAAGCGTTGACCTTAAGGAATATCTGGAAACTAAAAAGCGAGAGAACAAGAAGGAAACTTATAACGATATCATGAGAGAATTGATCAATGGTTTCCAGGATTGGAGGAAGCCTTTTAAAGATCCAAGCCCGGATGAAGAATTTTATATGCTTTCGGGTGAAAGTGAAGAAACTATAGCTGAGGGAAGAATTGTACAGGCCACAGTTCGGAGGATACAGGGTGGGAGAGCAATATGTGTATTGGATTCTGGCTTAACTGGGATGCTTATGAAGGAAGATTACACAGATGACTGGAGGGATATCGTTGAGCTGTCAGACAGACTGCATGAAGGTGACATGCTCACATGCAAGATCAAATCACTCCAAAAGAACAGATATCAGGTTTTCCTTGTCTGCAAGGAAAGTGAAATGAGAATTAACAGGCACCAACATGTCCAGAACTTTGATCCTTATTACCATGAGGATCAGAGCAGTCTCCAGAATGATAAAGTAAAAGCTCAGAAAGAAAAGGAGCTGGGGAGGAAGCACTTCAAGCCTCGGATGATTGTTCATCCACGTTTCCAAAATATTACTGCCGATGAAGCAATGGAGGTATGTCAGCATTTTACCTTGGTAGTGGCTAATCATTGTGTTCTTATTTTCAACTTCTACTTTTCAATTGGAATTGTGTTGAGAGGTTTACATAGGATTTGTTAGTTAGTATAGAGGCAAATGACGTTGGTTCTTACTGATTCTGGAGTTTAGTGGCAAATGACGTTTGTAAATTTATCTTAGATATGCAAATGATCTGGAGTTTAGTGTGTGTGTATAACATTTTATATGAGTTGTTGGTTCTTACTGATTCTGGTAATGTTCTGGCAGTATTTGTCTGATAAGGATTTTGGGGAAAGCATCGTTCGCCCAAGTTCTCGTGGACCCAATTATTTGACTTTGACACTCAAGATTTATGATGGAGTTTATGCTCACAAAGACATAGCTGAGGGTGGGAAGGAGAACAAGGACATAACCAGCCTACTTCGTATCGGGAAGACGTTGAAAATTGGGGAGGACACCTTTGAGGATTTGGATGAGGTGAGTTGCTCTGCTGGTGCCATGTTTTGGACTCTTCTTCTTCATTGTGTAGAATAGTCAAATGTTTCTAACAGTGAGTTGCATGGTTTTTTTAAACGTGCTTGGCTTTCAAAAGTGTTGCTGCGTCTTTGGCGACTTGCCTGTGCTTTAAAGTTGTGTACAACTTTAAGGTTTTACTGTCTTTGTAATTGGCTAGGTCATGGATCGATATGTTGATCCTTTGGTGGCTCATCTCAAGGCAATGCTCAACTATCGGAAATTTCGGAGGGGAACCAAAACAGAAGTTGATGAACTTCTAAGGATTGAGAAGGCTGAAAACCCGTCGAGGATAGTCTACAGCTTCGGGATTTCTCACGAACATCCAGGCACCTTTATACTAACTTACATACGAAGCACAAACCCGCACCATGAGTATATAGGCCTATATCCCAAGGGGTTTAAGTTCAGGAAAAGGATGTTTGAAGACCTCGACAGGCTTGTCGCGTATTTCCAGAGGCATATCGATGATCCGATGCATGAACCGTCGATTAGGTCTGTTGCTGCCAGGGTACCCATGAGAAGCCCGGCCGAACGTGGTTCTTCGGCAGGAGGTGGTTGGGGTGGTAGTTCCCACAGCGAAGGAGGTTGGAAAGGTCACTCTTTTGATAGGGATCATTCTTCTACACCTGGTTCAAGATCTGGTAATTTCTCCCTACATTCTATTCTAGACTTTTTGTGTTTTGTGGATGGTGTTGCATGGCTGCCAGTAATGGCGTCATGTTAGTAAAAAAAAGGCTAAGGCCTTTGTCCATTTTGTATCCCCACCAAATTTCGCAGGCAGGGGAGGTGATTTCAGAAACAGTGGCGGCGGTGGCAGAGACGGGCATCCGAGTGGGGCACCGAGGCCATACGGTGGTGGCCGCGGTCGTGGACGAGGAAGAAGAGATAACATGAACAACGAAAGGCAGGATTCAGGGTTTGATACTCCGAAATGGGGTTCTTCTTCAAAAGATGGGAATGACGATTGGGGCAATAATAACAGCGGCACCGGAGGAGGCGGTGGTTGGGGAAGTGACACTGGAGGAGGTAAAAAAAGCAGCGTAGGGGACGAAGGCGGTTGGGGAGGAGGTGGCGGTTGGGGAAGCGATTCCGGCGGTAGAAAGAGCAGTGACGGAGATGGCGGATGGGGCGGTAGAAAGAGCAATGACGGAGATGGCGGATGGGGAGGTAGAAAGAGCGGTGGCGGTGGTGCTTGGGGTGGTGAGTCGAGCGGAGGAAAAGAGGGCGGCAGCGGCGGTTGGTGAGAGAGAGTACCTTTCGTAGTACCGAGAAAAAAAAGTTTGTTATATTTAGTCTCTGCGAAAAAAGTTACCTGATTAGCCAGCCTCCTGCCATGAGGGTAACGAGGGTTAATGAATTAGACTATCGACGTACCAAATTAATTTAGAATTTTTACCATGTGACCTCACCTCTTCACATTTTTTGCCCATTCTGGTTTTGATGGTTTCCCAATTTTTTGTTTGTTTCCTTAAGAAAATACCAATTTTGCCCATTTTGGATTTCGGTTCAGGTTCGGTTCGGTTATATTCGGGTTCGGTTATTTCGGTTATAGAAAAACTATAACCATTTGTTTTTTATATAAACTTCGGTTTGGTTTCGGTAAAAAACTTATGTTTCAAAGAAATAATCGGTTTTATCGGTTATTTTTTTATTCGGTTTCATTTTTTTCGGATTTAAAAAAATTAGAACGGTTTGATTTTGATATCGAATTCGGTTCGGATATAGTTATATCTTATTCGGTTCGGCTCGAACACTGGTTTGTAATAACTTAAGTAATGAACAGTTTGGATTCTGGATATAAACTATAAAGAACATGTTTTCTGTATCAGAATAAGATAAATAAAAAATATAAAAATAAAAAACAATATGAACAAAGGATGTGAAAAAAAAAGAAGAAAAGAAAATGCATGTAAGACTCCCATGCGTCATAAGAAATCACTAAGATGTTCAGCACTCCAAATAGTTCAAAAGGGACTATGATTTGGATTTGATTTATGTTAAAATCATAATGTCCTTGGATTCGCATGGAACTGGAACCGTCAATGGTTGGATTGAAGTTCCTTGGCTTTGAAGAATCCATTGGATTACATCTTCCATTTCGCCCACTCATTCCGCCACGTCAGCAACATCACAAGTTTGCGCAACGGCCTCAAATATTTATAATAGAATTAAAATATAAAATAAATTACAGAATGCATATAAAACGAATCGAATTTATTTATTTATTTGTTTTTAGAAAAAGAAAAGTTTCAAGCGGAAACGGAAAAGGGAGGATAGGATGCTTGGCAGAGCAGTTGTTGCTTCTGCAGTTTCACCAGTCTCTTCCTCTTCTTCTTCATCTGCTTTCTGTCTCTCGCCGAAGCTCAATTTCTCCGCCGTCTGGAGCCTCTCCGGCGTCCAATCTTCGCCGTTTCTCGGTTCCTCTCTCCTCAGATGTAAGAGCGACCGCAAGCCTCTCCGCATGACGAGCTCCAGTGTCGCGGTCCGAGCGGCGGGGCAGCCGCTGGAGAACGCCGATGAGCTCATTGACTCTGTCGAGACTTTCATCTTTGACTGTGACGGTTAGTTTCATCGCCGATTGTCGTCTTGACATTTCGTGGAAACTGTTTGTTTACTCGCCGATTGTGTAGAACATTGTTACGGTGACCTAGACATAGCTGGTTTATTTCTTAGAATGTTTCGTTTTGGAAGAATCTTGTGGATGTAGAGAAGGATCAATGAAAGGGAAAAGGAACCCTGGGAGTTCGATGTTGTGAATGGACGGCAATCCGTTCCAAATTTGGATACGGAAACTTGTTTTACGCCTAATTGATAATGTCTGTTTTGATGCAACTACAACAAAGTCCACGCCTGAATTTATTATCTATCCAGTGTATATCTTGTGTGTATGTATATTCAAATGGTTGCTTTCGTAAATTTGATGAAATCTTCTTGATCAGAACACCTTCACGAGGAGAGAAGTTTTGGGTGGGGCTGTTATGAATCATTTGTCCTTTCCTTCCATGTTTTGTAGGAGTGATATGGAAAGGAGACAAACTGATCGAGGGAGTTCCTGAAACTCTGGATATGCTCCGTGCTAAGGTTGGAACACAATCTCATGATACGATTCAATGAGTTCAAATGGATATGGTGATATCTTATTTTGGCAGGCCATTGTGGAAGTTTTGTGGATTATCTTGGTGGTAATTAAATACAATCTTTTCTTTCCAGGGAAAAAGATTGGTTTTTGTCACAAACAACTCAACAAAGTCAAGGAAACAATATGGCAAAAAGTTTGAGACTCTCGGCCTTACTGTTAGCGAGGTTAGTAACAAATTCCATGCTAAGATAGCTGCTTGGCAGATATTCTATGTCTTCTTTTGATTCAAGTGATATCTTTTCAGGAAGAGATATTTGCTTCATCTTTTGCTGCAGCTGCCTACTTGCAGTCCATCAATTTTCCAAAAGATAAGAAGGTAAGCCATCCCACATTTAAAGATATCAGCAACGAGTCAAAATCTGGTTATATGGATGAGCATTGTATTACTGCTGCACATCTGTCCCCAAACATTCTCCTTTCCTTGGCAAGTTCTTGATGCATTAACTTCAGGTTTACGTGGTTGGTGAGGATGGCATCTTGAAAGAACTTGAGCTAGCTGGCATTCAATATATTGGAGGGCCGGTATGTATTAGTGGCGCTTCATATAAGCTTCTGGGTGTACTGAGATGTTTGTGTATCTTCTTGTGTCTTGTCATTTTCGTAGTCCCGTGCAAAGAAAGAGGCTGGAACTTGTATAATAAAAGATTCCTTTCTGTTATTTGTGATCGAGTTTTATCTCAGATACATCCTCGGAGTGATAATCTTATAACCTCTTTGTACGACATTTTCTTTTCACAGAATTCGTACACTTAAGCAGCAACATTCTTCAGCTCGATTTTTCTTCATTTTCATTGTTTTTGTACGAATCTGCAGTATTTTGAACAGCTTATATCCTTCAAATACAGGAAGACGGTAAAAAGCAGATTGAACTAAAGCCAGGATTTTTGATGGAGCATGATAAGGATGTATGCTTTTCTTCCTCGGTGTCCTTCTTTTACTACATTTGTCTCTCAGTGTTCACTTACTATTGATTTACATGTTATCACCCCTTCAAGGTGTGGACAGTTGGAAGTTTTGTTCTTCAGATGGAAACTGCTCATAATTTACTTATGCTTTTCAGGTAGGAGCTGTTGTGGTTGGATTTGATCGTTATTTCAACTACTACAAAATACAGTAAGTCTTCCCTCAACCTTCTCCCATGGTATGCATACTAGCAATGAAGATGCGAAGCATATGTATGAAACTGTACCATGTATCAAGTTGAAATAGAAAGTTTGAATCACCTGATCTGTTTATCAGTGAACAATGCTCTTCAAGTCCTTGTTAATGCCAACTGCATTACCTGATCTGACATTGTCTCTTTGCCGAAAGGTATGCAACACTCTGTATCCGTGAAAACCCTGGGTGTCTTTTCATTGCTACAAACCGAGATGCAGTCACCCACCTTACTGACGCTCAGGAATGGGCAGGTCTGCTTCTTGTATGCATCTTCTATATTTCTATTTCACAGAAGTTTGTCTATTCTTCATATTGTGGTCAAATTATTGACTCATCTTTTAAGTTCGAGTATTGATAAAACCATGCAAAAACAATGGAATATAATTTTTGTTCTTGCTATAATGTGACTCTTGCATAGAAATCTGTTTGCGAACTCAATGATGTTAAACAGAAAATGGTTCATATTACTCAGATCTTTAGTAAAGAGTCTTTACCTATGACATATCAGAAGTCCAACACTGGTTGGAGTACCAGATAATCTGATGGCCTTTAGTTCTTTATGCTTCATTGTCGACACTTAGGTGTACATTTTGTATTTGTGCATGAGGGTAATGTTTAATGTTGTTTTATGTTTCCTCCATAGTGTTGGACCGAGTCCTTGTTGGGAGTGTAACTGGAAAGAGTTGTGCCATCTGGCTTTGCTTGATTGAGTTAATCGAGATTCCTGTATTTCTATTTAAGCATTTTGTGTCCTATATCTTGCACCCCTTGTTTATATATTCTCTTGTGACGTTACTGTTTAATCTGGAAACCAACTCCATGCATTCACCTTCTGTCTCAGGTGGTGGTTCCATGAATGGAGCTATTGCTGGATCTACTCAACGGGAGCCTCTGGTTGCTGGAAAACCCTCAACTTTTATGATGGATTATTTAGCAGACAAGTAAGATTTACTGATTCTCAACCTTTATGATGTCTTTCATCTGTTTTCCCTTTCCTGAATTATATGTCCAAGTGGTTTAGTTTTTCTGGCTGAAACCAATGAAGATGTATAAGTTTGTAATAGTTACATCTCTACTATTCTATCATGTGCTTGTTATTTGCCTCATTGACAATTTGACACAAAAGAAAGAGAGTATGAAAAGCCGGAATCAGTTTAATGTCGAACCATTTCTATTTAACTCATCATTGTTGTGTTTGATTGGCACTCTTCATGTCAAATCGAGTCCATTTAGGATAGTATTGTTTCGAGAATACATTCTTCGAAACACGGGTCCCCTCAAATGGCAAATGCATTTTGGCTGATTGACAATGTGCTTGGTGTGTACATCGGCAGCTTCTTCGAGCTTAAGTGTAATAAATAACCACATGATTGACAATGAGCATACTTCTTCACTTCCATCTCTTGTCATGAAAAATATGCTGTCATATTTCTCTGATCACTGATAAATTTGTATTTTTGGGCAGATTTGGAATTCAAAAGTCACAGATATGCATGGTGGGTGATAGATTGGACACTGACATTTTGTTCGGACAGAACGGCGGTTGCAAAACTCTCCTCGTCCTCTCTGGTATAACCTACTCTTTAAAAAAAAAAAATCCATGGATTTCGTAACTTGTTCCACTCCGTTCGAGTTAACACATTTCTATTGTTTTTCAATGGTGGATCGAAGGTGTTACAACACTCTCAAAGCTTCAAAGCCCTGAAAACAAGATCCAACCAGATTTCTACACGAGCAAGATCTCAGATTTTCTATCCCCAAAGCCTGCCGCTGCTGTGTAAAATCAAGTAAGCAATCAAATCACATTCTCCACTTATGAACCTCCTAAAAGTTATCTTCTTCTTCTTCATCATCTACCACAGTAGTTACTGCTGAATCTGGAATGACTTGGGCTTCTTTTGTTTGCAGTAACTCCAGCTACATACATATATTATATTATATATACATGAGATATCATCACTTATCGGTTAGAAAGAATGTAAAAGCACCACTTAAAGACAAGAGAAGGACCCATCTGTATGACTTTTTTTTTAAATCCATTCTTTAGTGGTTAATAGTGTCTGTGATTGTGATGAATAACAGTTGATGAAGCCTTTCTTTTCCACAATAAGGTTGCGAGTTGAAGAACCAAAAGCTTTATATACATGTTTGATTCGAACAACACTGCCATAACAAAGTTCAAACTGAGACGGCTTTGTCTTCTAGCCCCCCCCCACCTACCCCCACTTTTTGTGTTGTTGGAGAAATTTCATTTTTATATTCTTTAAAATATATCGGCATGTTTTTTTAAAATGTTTTCAGATAACTCGGTATAAAACCTCGATCTATTGGATTTGAATAACATATATATGATTTTCTCCTCTACCAAAATATACATATACTTTACATGTACAAATAGTATCATATCTGTTCGAATCAAATTTATTTGATCTACAAACTGATTAATTGTTGTATTTTTTAAAATTAAATTAATTTCATTTAAATCGTGATAGAGTAATTACAAAAAATCGAATAAAAACAAAACTCTGTGAATTTCAAACCCTAGAAGAACGGAATAAAATACGAAAAATAATGGAAAACCATAAGAATAATGAGATGGATGTTGCCGTAGAAGGAAGAAATTTACCGTACGCATATCTAACGCGCCGAATACGTCTCCGTATTTGTTTCTCGTCTACCCAAAAGAGCCGAAGAAGCCCATTTCATTTTTGTTTCCACTTCCACCGCCACCGCAGTTTCATTTCCACCCTGTAACTTCATCTAATTTACATGTCTGCCACCGCTTCCCGATTTCCTTTCCTCTCTCTCACTCCACCTTCAATCTTTCTCTTTCCTCCCTTTCCCTTTCCCTTTCCCTTTCCCTCGTCGAATCATCAATCTCCTTCGTCGCGAAGGACCAGAGATACAAATCCATAATAAATGGACGCCGACGAAGATTTCTACAGCGGCAGCGACTTCGCTGACAACGATTCTGATTACGCCGACAGCGACAGCGTCGATGTTGCCGACTACGAGTTCATCGAGAATGACGCTGATGATTCCGATGATCTCATCTTCCGTCGCCACCAGGTTTCTCCTTCTCCTTCTCCTTCTCATGGTTTCGTATCGTTAGGATCGGATTTTCGGAGCTTCGGATGATGCAATTTGCGTTTTGGAGATGATGTTTGTGATTGTGCTCTTGTGGGTTTTTTTTTTCGTTTTTCCTGCATTTTAGATGATTCTCATACGTTTTTACCAGAATCTGGAAAATGATAAATACAGATTAATTTTGTACAAGATTTTAATTTTTAAATTTGGTTAATGATTTTCACCAAAAAGGGAAAGTCTTTGTTGCCCTTTTTTGTTGAATTTTCTGTAGCATTTACTCCTCCGTTAATAAACCTGCGTGATCTCCTGTCCTGGAATCGAATTTGTAATTCTACAGAACATTCACTTTTTAGGATTTGCAGAAGCAATCTTGCTCCGTTTCTTGTCTCTTTTCCTTGACTTTAGACGATCAGGGTGTAATTTATAGTTTTCGCAGGAACAATTAAATAAAATCGATCGACTATTCTACCTTTAGCAGGCCAATTATTATAATTCCTTACTGTTGTCTGTATACGTTTTTCATAGCGTATGTGATGGTTCTTGGGATAAAAGTTTGTTCTTTTGCTTGGTATTCCTCCATTTCATGTCATATTGTATCATGCGATTCCATCAAAAGAGAGCTCTTAATGCCGTGAAAGTTTTGTATCTTTTGATGTATCAGCCTCAGCCGACTTATCATGATCGCGTTGCTTCTTATTTTTGTTGTAGCAAAATTATACAATTCTAAGTGAGGCTGATATTCGTCAGCGTCAGGAAGATGATATCTCAAAGATTGCAACTGTATTATCAATTTCAAGAATTTCATCTGTCATCCTTCTTCGCCACTATAACTGGTACTCCCAAGTTTCAAATTATTTTTCATATATCACGGCCTTCTTTTGTGTGTATTTAGTATAGATATGTGGATATATGTTAGGTGAAGCTTCCTTTTAGTTTTATTCTTTTTGTTTATGAGTCCAGCAAAACATGCAGGCAGATCATTATTTATTGTGATCAATATTTTGGCCTTTTTTTTGTCCAATATCTAGTATAGGTTTTTGTGACAATCTTGTTTTGGCAACATTTCAGGTGTGTCAGCAAAGTTCATGATGAATGGTTTGCAGATGAGGAAAAAGTCCGAGAAGCTGTTGGCTTATCGGAAAAACTAATTGTTGATTTCCCAGTTGCTGGAGAAGTGAGTAACTGATTTTAAATTATTATTGCCATTCTTGATTGGAGTTCATCTGAGGAAGTAAAGAGTGTTTTTCAGGCTCTTCTTTGTTCTTTGGATTTCAGATATCCTGTCTTTGAATTTATTCTTGTTTTGTTTTTCTGTTCTCATTTTGACAGCGTACATGTGGGATTTGTTTTGAGGATTTCCTTTGTGACAAATTGCATGCTGCTGCCTGTGGCCATCCATTCTGTGATACATGCTGGGAAGGTTTGTTGAGAGCATTGAGACCTGTTTCCTTCCATATTGCAAAATTTAACTTTCAATTTTCTGCAATTTTTGTTCGATGATGTCAGAATATATTGTACTGTTTACCTTCTGTTTATCTTTTTTTTCTTCATAATGTAATATTGCAGTATATGACGACCCCTACCCTATCATGATCATCGTGTTGTTTTGCTAGATGAATAATTTACTGTTTCTCCTTTGTTATTTTTCTCCATAAACAAAAGCTGTACACAGAATGGAGTTACTAGATTTTAATATGGTTTTGCGTTGAATAGTTTGGTCTTTAGTTGAAATTGCTTTTGCATCTGTATCACTTTATCAATCTAACTTTCCTCCTTATTTAGGTTATATCAGCACCGCGATTAATGATGGTCCTGGGTGTCTTACGTTACGTTGTCCGGATCCATCCTGTGGAGCTGCTATTGGTCAAGATATGATCAATGCCTTAGTTTCTGATGAAGATAAGAAGAAGTATAACCGTTATTTTATCAGATCGTATGTTGAAGATAGCAGAAAGGTAATTTTTTCAGTTTAAGTTTTATATGAACTTTTACATGTTGGCTGATGAGGAGTAGTTAAATATCGATAGATGGTTGTAGAATGTAGATACATGTATTATGTTGCTTGCAGCTATACTGTCTAGTGAGTTATTTTCTAATCTCCATGGAAAAGAGTAGGGAGACCATCATTAATTGGAAAACTTTCTTGGTGCTGATATGAAGACTTGTAAAGTTTTCTTTGTCCTCTAGTATTACGTTTTCACGAAGCTTATGCTGATTATCTCTTTGTAGACCAAGTGGTGTCCAGCACCAGGCTGTGATTATGCAGTAAATTATGTTGTTGGTAGTGGTAACTATGATGTCAACTGTCACTGTTCTTATAGCTTCTGCTGGAATGTAAGTCGCTTTCATCTATATTCAATTCATTTCATTTTTTCCGTTTGCTCAGAATCAATGTGAGCCAAACATACTATGTAACTTGATTTTTCGTGGGACTTCTATTCTTTGAATCGACTTTGCAGTGTGCTGAAGAAGCCCATCGTCCTGTAGACTGTGACACTGTTGCTAAGTGGGTATTGAAGAATAGTGCTGAGTCTGAGAATATGAATTGGTATGTCGGCCCGTTGAGCATTTTCTTTCATGGCATTTAAATCTTATAGAAAAAGTGTTTTGGGATGGATGCTTGTGCAGAAAGCAACGTAAAACTGGCCATCACCTATTGATTAGCTCAGTTGACTAGGTACTTTTAGGAACTGTCTTTTCTCTTTCACAATTTAATTTCTGACAGGAGCTAAACGTGACTAATGTGTTTGTGTTGGCTTATAAAGTGCAAGATGGAAGAAAGGAAGTATTTGCTTGTCTTGTGCTTTATTTTGTTTTTAAATTGCTCCAGTTATGAAGAAACAAAATAGCTTTGAAAGAGGAAAAGTTACAGATGTAGTATGTTTTTTTATTCTAGATCCTCACTTCGCTGTATGCTTACATGCTCTCTACCGATCTATTGGATGTGATCCTAAATCAATATAGGTTTTCTTTTGAAAGCCTGATTTGGTTTCTGTAGAATAGTAGATTTTCCTTTCTGTGCAAGGGAACCACAGTTTTTTTTTTTTTTTTTTTTTGGGTATTGGTGATTACCCAGTGTGGGGCTCGAACCGTGGTTGTGGAGCGCTTTTGCGCATACCCACACCACTTTGCCACCCACTACTTGGGGGGAACCACATAGTTGGGGACACATTTCCCTTTTAGTGCGTAGAAGGAAGTCGATCCATCACTGTTTCTTGTGTTCCGTCTACCAGCATAAGAATTCTTTGTGCTTCAGTTTATGTACTCATGATAAATCCCCATTTTACCTGTCAGGATTTTGGCGAATTCCAAGCCTTGTCCGAAATGTAAAAGGCCAATAGAGAAAAACCAAGGCTGTATGCATATCACATGCACACCACCATGTAAATTTGAGTTTTGCTGGTAAGTTGATAAGTGATTGCATTTACTAACTTGATAAATTCCGTTCTTTCTTCTCTGTGCCGTATAGGACATTTACTTAAATTTGAGTCTTTATGATTTAAAATTCTGAAGAAAATTAGCAAAAAATGGATTATAGTCTGTATATTGTCTGATATGACGTTGTTATGTAAGATAAAGAAGTATTATGTCCCATTTTCGTACTTGCTTCTTCAAATTTCCTATCTATGATTATCTTATCAGTAAATTAACAAAGATATTTGTTGTTAGATACTCTTGTACAGATAGGAAAATTCAACTGCTTTAATCTTCTTTATAGTTTTGTTGCATCTGTTTTTCTTTTCATTTGATCTTCATATGCAATTGGTTGTGTAACATCATTACGTAATCAGTTTCAACTTCGTTCATTCTAAAGAGTGTTGTTATATTCTTGTAGGCTCTGCCTAGGTGCATGGTCAGAGCATGGTGAGAAGACAGGTGGCTTTTATGCCTGTAATCGCTATGAAGCAGCAAAGCAAGAGGGAATTGTATGACAACTGTACATTGCTTTTGTCTCCTAGTTGATAGCTAAATTATCAATTTTTGTGTCTGGATTTCTTTTATGATTTTTTGTGATCTCTGTCTCTCTGTGTATAGTATGATGAAACTGAAAGACGCCGAGAGATGGCAAAGAACTCTCTTGAGAGATACACCCACTACTATGAAAGATGGGCGACCAATCAATCGGTATGTACATTTTTTGTGGATTTGATTTTTGTACGTGTTCTATAGGTTATGCCTTTTTCCTGATTCAAATCTAACTTAGAGACTTAAAAAGGGGAAGATAAGATGGAATCAGATGCATTTACGAATGTGGTCTTAGCAGTCGAATACCTTGAGATGTCATAGAAATTTCTTTATGTTCTGTGGAAGTAGATGGCATAGTGATACGTTAATACAATTCAGAAGCGCTGATTTCCATATTTTGATTTCAGATAGTCATGTGGTAGAGTACCGTGTGACTATTCCTTGAGTGAGACCTCTGTAGAAGGAGATAGAGGTGACTAATTTGGTATATTTATTGTTCTTAAGAACGATCAAGCTGAGAAGCACATGTAGCACAAGCTACGTACTTGTCTGAGTGGGCAGCCTTGTTACTTAACCTAGGAGATGTCTTACCGCTACATTCATCTAGTTGTTCACTTTTTAAATTTGGGTGAACGAAATATTATCTTGTACTGGATCTTCTACGGGAGTGGGAGTGGTAGCGGTAGCACTTCAGTGACGAGAACAAATATATGTAGGAAACATGTCTCTGGTCTGCTGAAGAAAATAGTTGTTCTAAAGTTTTGTGTAGCTAAGAAATTGTTTATACTGAGATTGATCATGAACCCTTGAAAAAAGTAACGTTAGTTTCCTCCCATATGTTCGCGATCTCATTTGACCGATTTTTGCTTCGAAACACTTCCAAGCGTTTTGAACATGTTGAAAGCATACACCTTTTCCCATATTGATTGAGTGTTTTTTTTTTTGGCTGCAGTCTAGGCAAAAGGCGTTGGCAGATCTAAAGCAGATGCAGACAGTGCATGTAAGTTAACTATTGTGTCATGGCACTTCTAATTTTTTGGTATGTCTTTGCTCCTTGTTCTCTGATGTTTGCTGAAGCTTTTTATTGTTGACTTTTTAGATTGAGAAGCTGAGTGACATACAATGTCAGCCTGAATCACAATTGAAGTTCATTATAGAGGCGTGGTTACAGGTAAGCATTAGTGCTTGTTTGACATTTCTGAAGATTATAAACCATTGCTCACTTATTTTCCTCTACAATCGTTAGATAGTGGAGTGCAGACGAGTACTGAAATGGACATATGCCTATGGTTTTTACTTACCTGAGCACGAGCACGCAAAGAGACAGTTTTTTGAGTACTTACAAGGTACACGATTATGTTTCACTATTTAAAGTTTTCATTCTGGAATTCTCGGTTCTGATTCCTGAAGAAATTACCGTCTGTGTTTTATTCTGATTGCTTTATGAATGAATATGACCACCTCTGGAGTCTGGATGCAAAGGTCAAAAATGGACTTGAATTTTGAACCTTTTTTCTGGTTAATTTCATTCTTTGAACCGGAAGAAATGTTTGTGTAAGAAACCTGTAATAGAGTCCGACTACAGTGATCTAATTGTGATATCAAGCATTAGAGTATTTGGTATTAAGATTGAGTCATTACAAAAAGTCCGTTTATTTTGTGTCTCGTGTTTCGTATGCAAGATTATCGTACGAAGCTGACATGTCTACTGCTGGTTAGAACTGTCAGGGTCTCACAGTTAAAATTTAGTTCCAGGCTTTGGAAACAGCGAATAGGATTAACTTCCGTTAATATCCACGATTTTGTACTTTGTTATGCACATGATTTTTTCTGCATTTATCTTCTTCATTCTTTTGTTGGTTTTCATATTCAGGCGAAGCTGAGGCTGGCCTTGAAAGACTTCATCAATGCGCTGAAAAAGAAATTCAAAACTTCTTTAAACCCGATGGTCCGTCAGAAGATTTTAACGAGTTTCGCACAAAACTAGCTGGGCTGACAAGGTAATCATTTCACCGTATGAATGCTTTTAAAACTTTGAAGAAGTTCGATTTTCCTTTGAAGGTGTAACTAACATTTTTTTTCGCTCGTCATGTATTGGTCAGTGTCACTAGAAACTATTTCGAGAACTTGGTCCGGGCTCTCGAGAACGGTCTATCGGACGTGGGTTCTCACAGTGCGTGTGATCGGACAACGAGCTTGGGCAGCCGAAGCGGGAAGAACAAGGGACCCAGTTCTTCAAGAGCGAGCAGCTCGAGTACCAGAACCAACTATGACTCAACCCATTGGTCATGTGAACACTGCACTTTTGCAAATCCGAGGTCTGTCAACATTTGCCAAATGTGTGAACGTCGACGATGAAGTTCCTAACACCAAACCCTATCCATCCTCACCCGCAAGGACTTGCCCTAAACCCGAGAGAGACACGAAGCAGATACAAGAGAGAGAGACCGACCTCGATGTTCAGCCATATGGCAAGTACGTCTCCCGATCCCCTTTTGGGTAGAGTTTGTGGCCCTTCACAGTGAGTGTGAATGGGTTTCTTTAGTTATCTATGAGCAAATATAATAGGGTACCGTACACCGCAGAAGCCATGGAGGAACTAAAAGACAGTAATGTTAAAAACAAAACAAAAAAAGGCAGAAGAAGAGATAAAGAGTCTGTTTTATGATGCCTTTGTATCGTTACGTTTAATTTCGTTTCGAAATAATGTTAATCGGAGTAGCTCCTCACAAATCTTATATTGCCTCATCACACACACACACTGGAGATGTTGAAGTTTCTTTCACTTTGATGAACGAAGGCTGTACTACAAAATTATGTAATAAATTAGTCAGCAGTTACATCAATTCAGTTACTTGCATTAGGCAGCAAACAGCCAACAAGAGTCTACTTAGCGCCTGAATCAGGGTCCCAAGTCTAACAACTCTTCTTCCAACTGGTGGCTTCTGAAGAATCCCACTTCACCTGGAAACGACAAAAGAAGAGATGCTTTAACTTTGGCCTTAGACAAAATGTGTTAGCCTCGTCATATTCACAAAAAAGGGGTTTCCCTCAAGCTGAAAATTTCTGCTTCAGAATCTTCAGATGATATGGCACTCGAAAAGATGCACTTTTCGTTCAATGGTCTCGGTTTGGGAGGGGATACTCTCATTGTGGCATTCACTTCTCTCTTGTGTCTGCAAAGCAGAAGCTAAAGCATTGCTCTTTCTCTTTCTCTCTTCCACGCTTGCATCATCAGAAACTGATCGAGACGGTTCTTTGATATCCGGTGGTTCTGCCTCCTCCTTAGTCATCTCAGTTTTACCCTCAAAGCAGTCATCAGATATTGGTGAACCCATCTCTACATCACTGGCTTTTTCCCTTACAGAATCAGTTTTGTCCTGATGGGAGCTATCATCAACCACAATCGACTCATATGTACTTTCTTCACCTATTACACACTGTGTATCAGTTCTGTGCCCAATGCAACTCTCAGCTGGTACGGGATGGGATTCTAAAGCTCTATCTGTCACCTTTCCCAAGCTTCCTTTCTCCTCCCAGCAACCATTGCATGAATCCGGTCTGGATTCTGTCTCATTACTTCCCCTGAAATCTTCATTCTTTTCAAGCCCAGAGCAGCTATCTGCTAAATGCAAAGAGGATTCAATATCAGCAGTTCCACAGTTTCCATTGTCTGCATTACCCCCTGCTCCCGGGACAGGGAAGCCCGGATCAAGATTTGGAGAACACATCCCCTCAGGTTTATTAGCCTTGGCATCTACTTGTCGGCAAATCTCAGGCACCAAGGGCAGATTACCTGAGGCAAGATATAGTCAGTCCATGAAAGCAAGCATGCCCAAGAGTATACATTCGTGTACATGTGCAAGTTGTGTACAGTACAATGTCAGTTAATAAAAGGTTTCTTCAGACTGAGCATTAGTACCATTGGAAGAGAACGCATTTGCCTCTGCAGTGGTATTATGTGTCAGCAAAGGTTTCTCCAGCATGTCTAGACCAGGGAACACCATCAAGATTAGATTCTTTATTTTTTTCTTGTTCGATTCAACAACAGGCTTGAAGCCAAAGCCTGAAGTCCATGTCTCAGTCAGTTCTGGAACTGCAGGTATTACCAACTTTTCTACTCTAAGTGAGCCCAGTGCCTGACAACAAAGCGCATAGGAGAAGCAATTTCATTACAAAACAAACACAAGTGGAGTTACTGAACTACAAAATTAACTACCATATAATCTCATCTATCTACATGTTAAATAAAGAAATCTGAAAAGTGTGCCAGGTATTTCATGATTGAGATCAAAGATTCAAACACAAGCTTATGCTAGTAGTTCATAAGATGCTCCAAGATTACACGAAAACCTACATTCCCTAAATACACATGCCAGAAAGATCCTGGGCACAAGAAGCCAGGTACAAAATTCAGCCACCTAAATTCAGCAGGGTCGACAGTT